CATATTTTGATTTAAAGAACTTTCGATAAATATAAGTCATCTAAGACTCCCGCTAACCCATGTGATGTCTCCATGTTGAGATTCTCGTATGGATGGGAGGAATCTACATCATATGAGATGGCTAAAACCATCAAGAAACTCTTAAAGAAATTTCTGCCACCTATACGTGTACGCCGGGGAAGGACCTGGAAAATACATAGCTGATCTCGGTGCGCCTCCCACCATAACGTACGCACACGTGGCAGAAAGTGGATGAACGAATCACGCTTGTTCGCTTCGCCTTTTTCTTATGCATGCGAAATTGAGTTGCGTGGCGCGCATACCATGCTGATGGAAGGAGAGTAAGAAAAGTTGTCCATTTATACGTAGGTTGTTTGATTTGTATGACCGAATTTATGAAGTTGTGATTTTTTTCGTTTGCACTGTATATTTTTATTGATCCAAACCTATTAAAACTCTTCGTTTGTTTGTTTTTGTTGCAATGGACGCGACCTAAAGGATTTCGGTGGACATTCGTTGATAATCACCTGTGTGGTCACAATCCCTGTTGATGTATGAAATTCAGGTAGATCGATGCAATATAGCATCCTTGAAATTCTAGTGATCATATAGAAAGAAATGCCAAGATATATATTATGGAAAGAAAGAAATGCAGTTGTATTCCTTCTTTTTCATGCGTACATCCAAGTTTGCCACGCGTGGATCTAATAGAAGCTATAGGGGGCAGCTGGAATGAGCATGCATACGCAGACGTGATAGGTCCTGCCTTGTAGTTGAAGCGGTGTGCAAGCCCTCCTAGCCACCAGCCTGCTCGTTCCCAATGCAAATGCATGGCCGCAACCACTGAAATACTCCAGAGTCTTGTACCCAATGGCCGTGCCAAATTTTGAAACTACATCTCTTGGAACACGTGGTTTGAGTGTTTAGTAAAACTGGTATAGGAGACTTTCATTATTAGAGTATTGAAATACTGCTAATAATGCGTGAAACATAGGAACTGACTCCCATAGGACGCAAAAGCACATGAAAATTTCAAATGTGCCGCGGGTGTCCTTTTTTTTGAAAAGGAGGATGACCCCAGCCTCCCCATCAAGCAATGCACACCATCATCTTTTATTATATTATTCAACAAAGTGTGACAAAACCAATACATGGTTCAACCCAAGGCCACCTTCATGGCGATCTATGCTGCTACACATAGTCGTTTGATGATGTGCCCTGATCTCACGCCGACACACATGATCTAATCCGGTGGCCTCACCAATCCATCACATGGCAAGCCGAGAGCACCAACCGATCTAGCAGACCCGCAACGTGGCGGGAGTTGTATACCCAAATTAAAAGAAGGAATCATAATTTTAACTTGGGTTTGCTACCCTCCAAGATTCCAAAATGCAATTCAGTGGAATCTCAAATGAAATATAAGATACCTGCCTTTGTTCCAAATGGCATCAATTTTTTTTCCAAACGGGAATTCTATCATCTAAATTTATGTGCTTTTTCTTTATTCCAAACGAGACTTAAGTTGAGCGAAACATAAATCTTGAAAGGTGTCATTCAGATCATAGGTCCAAATTGTAAAGAAGAAAGCATGAGCTCTTACCTTATGTTTTGGTTTCTTCCGAAGTATCTATGTACAATATACTGTTCATTGGAATTCAAAAGAAATATAAGATATCTGCCTATGTTCCAACTTCCAAAATGGCATCAAAGAAAAATTTCTATAAAAGTGAAACCCTGTAAAATTTACATTTTTCCAACTGATACTTATTCTAAGACAAGGATACATGCATGCGAACGACGCCAGCTGCTCTGTTTGCACTTTGCACCTCCTCCATATAGTATCGGTAAAGCAAATTGGAAGGAAAAAGTATTCCTCAAGTTCCAGTCAACCGTGTTGTCATACTTTAGAGAGAGAAGGACCATAGCCCATGAGGACCTAGAGTATAAGAGTTTTGAAAATCTGAAACAACATAAATAAAGATACTTAAAGTAAACAAAAACTAAACGCTTTGAATTGATAGAGCATGCACTCCAAACAAGGGGAAAATCTTAGTAGTAATTGACCATGCATATAGACCACCGACCGAAGCTTCCTAGGCACTCAACGTCTCAACCAAATCTGAAGCTCATAGTGTACTTAAGATATTTGTGTGCTTAATACTCAATCTTGCACTAGTTAAAAATGGAATAGATGCAATATGCAAGCTCCTTTACCTTTTTTTTAGACTGGAGTACTTTGTTTCCTTTAATCCCTTTTGATTGATGGCTCTTGTTGATACCCGGCCCATTGAGCTCAGGTAAAATAACACAGTCATGATATATTCCACTAGTCATGCATCCTTATACTATCCCGCTTTAAGGAATGCCCACATGCATGCATCCTTAGTGGGATTGCCTAATTAACAAGAAGGTTCCCTGCTAATGATAATTAACTAAAACCAAATGTGCCACCGTACATGCAAAGCAGTCTATTATCTTGGACTAGTATAAGGATGAGTCGAGTCAGCTAACTGTAAAAGCTCAACCTTGTCTGTTCCAGCCCAATCACATTCCTTAATTATTTTTCTCCCAGCTAATTAATTAACTAGTTTGATTGACTAGTGGCCGGCCATGCATTGAGGTGCTGCTGGCTCTTTCCAACTTCACGAAGAAAGCAACCCGCCAGATGCCCAAATGAGAAGACGAGACGACTCTGGTCTCGTGCTGTTGGTGCATGCAAAGCTGGCTATTTAATTTGGAGGCCTAATCAAAATAATTCAGTGCATTATATTGCAGCTTGCATGCACTTTATATTATTATTTTCAAATTTAACAAAAAGGCAACAACGTGCCAGACGAGCGAGAGTCTTTGGCTGCAAATGTCAGATCGTGTTTCACATGTGTGCTTGACAATTCCACATCCAGTAGGAATACTTCAAGTAAGCTAATTAAGCTGGGAGCTGCATGCCTAAGAGATATATAGTAGAGTAGTACAAATAAACTAGCCCTAGTGCTGCCGAATTTCCAGGCTTGATGTGATGCATCAAGCAAGCACTAGTCTGAGCAAGCTGCGTGGCCAAAGCAATGCAGCTTTGGGCTCAGTTTAGCTTGGCCTTGGATGCCCTACAAATTAGCTAGATAGATGTCCGATGGGTCTGGTCAGTGATCGATCTGTGCTTGCTTGCAAGAGCTTAATCTGCACGCGTCTTTTCCTTGTGTGGGATGGCCGATTAGATGCTGC